GAAAGAGGTGGGAGGGAAAGATACCAAGGACTCAAGTAGAAAATGTTTTGAAAATGATGATGGAAACCTATGTACAAATGTGCTTGATACAATGGATGCATGGATTGTTATAAGAACCTCCAATAAAATGATTTATAGAAGAAAAAAAACCCACTGCCTTCAATCAAATCAATTTCTTCTCATAGTGACCCTATATGAAAGACAAAATAGAAAATTACTCTGTAGGGTTTCTGAGACTATAAATCTTTATGGGAGTAGACAGCCTAATCTTAGGAAGTAATTTAAGATTATATAAATGTGTTCATTTGGGGGTTTCTCAAAACAGCAGCAAGAAAACAAAACAAAACGAACACATTCTCAAAAAAAAAGTTTGTAACAATGAAAAGAAGAGTACACAAAATGACTGTCTGTAGAGCTGCTCGGTACACAATGGATGGCTAATGCCAAACAGCTCTGCAAGAAAAACATGCAGCATTCACAGGGAATCCATGACAGATGACTCACTAAGACCAGTGGTGAGAGTGGCGATACCTGGAAGGTGGGGTAGTAGAAAGGAGGAACCAATTACAAGGATCTATATATATAACCTCTTCCTTGGGGGACAGACAACAGAAAAGTGAGTGAAGGGAGCCGTCGGACAGTGTAAGATATGACAAAATAATAATAATTTGTGGGTTATCGGGGGTTCGTGAGGGAGGGGGTAGTGGGGAGAGGGGGGAAATGAGGAGCTGATTCCAAGGGCTCAAGTGGAAAGCAAATGTTTTGAGGATGATGGCAACAAATGTACAAATGTGCTTGACACATGGATTTATGTATGGACTGGGATAAGAATTCTACGAGCCCACAATAAAATGATTTTAAAAAGAAAAAAAGAAAAAGATGCAGTTATCTGCTCCTATTCGAAAATTACAGCCTCAGAAACCCTATATAGGGTTGCTGTGAGTCAGAAGGGACCCAATAACAAAGAAAAAAAGGAGTAAGTAGCCACTATGATTTCTTCACTGTAGTAAAGGTAGTATAGAAACTTTGCTCATCTCACCCACCAATGTATTTTATAGGTGAGTAAGAGAATTCAAACTCAAGAACAATGAAATACGGAAGCCCAGATGTGGGCCAGCTGACAGATAACCCAGATAAAGAGGCCAATGGGCTCCTGGCTTTTCTTACTATTAACTGCAGTTCTTGTCTGTTATACTTAGCACCTTCAGCCCAGAAAAACAGATTTTATGATCAATATTTCATGGACTTGGTTCTAAATGGATGTGGCTAGCCTACTTGGATACCCAGAAGGTAAAAAAGGGGAGACACAGAACCAAACGATGGCATCCAGCTAGGCAAAGAGCCACAGAACCAGGACCAGGGAGCAGCTGCAGTCACACACATTTCTGTTCACAAAACTAGCAACAACTCGAGGGGAGTTTAGATTATAAGCAAACATGCTAGAAATATATCCATAAGGGGGTTTTAATTAAAACTAGTAGAAGAAACAGGCTGAGTGGGAGACAGGTGATGAGGACAAAAACAAAACCGACCCTCAACAATGCTCTTCATAATGTGTCATTCTCGTGATCAACAGATCAAACAATTGTGTTCTACAGGGTTTTCAATATAGGGGAAGTAAACTCCCGGATTCGTCTTCTTAATATGTTTAGTTTGGAAGCATCACTGAAACTTGTTCAGCATGATAGCAACAAACAAGCATTTAAATATCAATTTTACAGAAGCAAACTTTTAAAAATTGTTTCCAGCCTCTTGTTCTTAGCAACAGCCTGACATCTCTCTACTGAGTTCTCATATTTTGTGTTCTTTTACCAAAAGAACAATGTTTATTTTGTATTCTCCCAGTTTCACTTGCCACTCTTATTACCAGTTCTCAGTAATTCCTCTAGCTTCTGAATGATGTTGGTAAGGCAGCAAGGTTGCAACTGACTCTTCAAAGGGGTAGATAGGCAATATAGGCACATGGTTTTGATATCAACAGCAAAATGTTTGACTTTAATATTCCATTATATAAATAATATCTTTTCCTTTTAAAATTTTGAGACATTAATGGCCAGCTAGCAAGAAGTTTGTCTTGAGTACAAATAAAAATATATACGTATTATTGGTGGACAAATACAACTTTTTCTCTGAGAGTGAGAGACTTCCTAAACAAGTCTTATGCTTGGTGTTTTTACCCTTATTATTTCACTCAAATATCACAACACTCATGTGAGGTGAGAAATAGGCTCCACTGGTTAAAAAAACTCACTCAAAGATACAGTGCTAGTGAGAAACAAGCTGGGATTTAAACTTGGTACTTGCTATTTCCAGGTTCAGAGTAGCTTCCACTAAACTGATACCATTAAATTTAATAGATAACACTACTTAAGGTAGATTTGATATCGAAGGTTAAAATTGCTCGTAGAAACTTTCTACAATAGAGATCTTGGACATGGGAAATTACAGATCTTTAAATGGTTTCCAACATCAAGGCTCCAGTTAGCTCAGGAAGGCTCTGCCTTCCTTTATGTACCACCCGCCCTTCTCCCTTGCTCCTTGATTTTTTTCTCAGGGAAAGCCAACCTTAGAACTCAAGTTTGTTTCACTGAGAAACAGACCTTTGGCCATCACAGCACAGGCACCTTACAGACTCTCTGGCTTTCGGTTTTGTTGTTCATTA